TATATATATAGATTAGTTTAATCTTAAAGTATAAAATGAAAATCGAAACCTACCAAATTTATTTGGCTTTAGTATAACATTTTTAAAAACTTAAAAATAAAAGTACCCGTATTTATATGGTGTGGATAAACGATTAAGTTTTTACACCTACTAAAAATAGGACCTTCGACGAACAAATCAAATCCTTAACGCGCCAGGGGCGGCTCAATAAAGATGAAGGTCTAAAGCAAAATTTTAATGAGGGGCCTTTTTTTTTTACATAAAAGGAAAAATTCATATATAATTTTATTTAAATTCTGTATTTTTAGTTTTTCATATGCAAAGTTATTAATAATTTTATCTAATCCATTTAATTTCTCTTGAGATATACACGTTGTGGGACTGTATTAAGGTTTTAACCTTTATTGAGTTATGAATTAATAATTGAATCCTTTCTCAATTTATGGTCTAGAGAGTGATTCCCAAAAAGACATTTTTTCTCAATTTATGATCAACAATTTAATCATACTTTTTTACTATGAAAATTTGTACTTTCTCATTTAAAACACTAAATATTCTTCTAAAAATAAATTAATATATAACCTATTAAAAATTTGGGGCCCCAAAAATTATGAGGCCCAAAGTAGCAGCCTTACCTTTGGGCCGGCACGGTAACGCGCTACCTTTTTTCTTCTTTTTTTTCTCCCTTTTTTTCCACACCCAGAAAACCAGCTCAAACTCAAAGAAATTCACCCAAACCATCAGAAGCAATCACTTATTAAAATAGTCTAACCTTAAAATGAAAGCCTTAAGTGCTATTTATACTAGGGAGGGTATATAGCTAACAAGACCTAAATACCCCTAAGCTATCACTAGTATTATGTAACTATAGACTCATTACATGTAGTCTTCAATTGATAGCCATATTATGCACGTATAGCTAGTGAAGGCTACCTTGGCTCGTATCATTACGGCAAGGGCTTCACCTGCCTTGCCCTAGAGCCACCCTTGCCTCTCTGTAACTGATGCTCCCAGGTAGCGAAGATTGTGAAGTTTGAGGAGATCTTTGGCATCACAATAATATGAAGTCGCATCTCTGTAACTGATGCTCCCAGGCAGCGAAGATTGCAAAGATTGTGCAGGTTGAAGAGATCTTTGGCATCATAATTATACGAACGATAATTCTTCAGAGTCTCCAGTAACCTACTCTCCAATCGCAATTTATCAACTCCGCAGACTTGAAAAGAATATGGAAGGTACATATGCCTCAGTTTTTTCAGCTTCCACAAGACATTAGGTATGGTCATCACATCATTTACCCGTAAATCAAGAGTCCGCAAGTTTGACAGTTCGCCAATAAATGATGGCAACTCCTTCACATAACAGTTTCTTAGACCTAGGTATTTCAGATTAGCAAGTTTTTCAATTCCTTCAGGAAGCCCTTTCCCCTGAAATCTAATATCCTCGAAGTCCAAAACTCTAAGCAATCTGAAATTCTTGAGACTAAAGGATTGAGGCCACGATAAAGCATGTCGATTTGGGTAAGGATTCAAAAATAAGAGAGATCGAACTTTACTGGATACTTTCTGCTGCAAGCAAACATCATTTCCAGCTTCACACTCGTCAAGGAACACGGAAAGTCTTCTTGTTGTACCATAACAATCCTTTCGCTGTCCATATGCTAGATGAAGCACTTCAAAAATGTTCTCTTCCTTTCCCTTCAATAAGCAGTGCTCCCGCAGCAGGTCATTAATTGGGCAAGATTTAACATTTCGAACTACTCTCTCCATGCCCTCCTCTTCTTGCATGCAAATCAAGTTTCTGGCTACCAATTGATACAGATAATGCTCTGCTCTGTCAATCAATGTTGTTTCACTTTCTCCATTTTCTGATGCTACAAAGCCCTCAGCTACCCAGAGATTGAATAACTTTTCTGCTTCTATGTCTACTCCTTTTGGGAATAGGCCCAAATAAAGAAAGCAACTCTGCAAATGGTAGGGCAAGTAATCGTAGGTCAAGAGCAAGGTCTTTGGTATCTTGGAAAATACTAAGGTATCTTTCTCGAGGTATAGATATGAGTCAAAATCATGAAGCACAGACTTCCAATGAGCAACGGAGTGCTCCCTGGCCAAGACGCTACCAGCACAGACAACTGCTAATGGTAAGCCAAAGCACTTGCTGACCACAGCCTTGGCGATTTCTTCCAGAACTTGGTTGGCTTTAAAAAAATTTAGGAGGAAGGCTGTCTCTTCCAAAGGACCTCCCAACATTCATCCGCAGATAATCTCTTCATATCAAAAGAGAGCCCCTTCTCAGCAATGCTCTTTGCCACATCTCCATTACGAGTGGTGACCAGTATTCTACTAGCCGATTTGGCAGTTGGTAAATATGCACTAAGGTTAACCCAAGCATCCATTGACCACATATCGTCCAGAACAAGGAAGCATTTATTTGACTCTAGAGACTCGTAAAGTTTATGGGCTAACTCTATCCGACCTTTGCACACTAACACTTGTTTTTTCCTGGAGCGGTTAAGCTGTGTAAGGATATCCCGCAAGAGGAAATCCATATCGATTTGGAAATCATGGGGCAGAACAATGTAAGCGAAAGCATCAAATCTTTGGCCATAAAATAATAGCTCATCGAAGATCGCCCGTGCAAGAGTTGTTTTGCCGATCCCACCCATACCGCAAATAGCGATAACTGGGGATTCCTTAAATCCATACTGGAAAAGGGATTGCAGCGTCCTTTTCTTTTCTTCCAAGCCAACAAGAACATCCTTGTTAAACGGATAAGCAAAACGGTAATCACTGCAATTGGAATCAGTATTATGCAGATGATTGCTCTCTACTGGGATCAGGGCCTTCTTAACACTGCAGCAACTTGCCAACTTTCCATTGAGGTAATGGATCTGCTCCATGATAAAGACCAGCTGGGACTCCAACTTCCGGCGGCCATAGACAGCAGAGATACAATTTACGCATTTTAAGATACCTGATGATCCTCCGACATCAACAGCATAAGTATCGATTACATCTTCAGTTTCAACAAGGATTTTTCGGAATTCATCCACAATTTCAATAATCCTTTCGTCACCCACTTTAGCATATTTCAGCAACCCTTTGGTTTGCAACAATTCCGACTTGAACTCCTCCACCGTTCCCTCTAAAAATTTCACTTCATTCAGCATCCGCTCAAGATTTTCCAACAGCAACAACACACTACCGTAACCCATCTTTCTTTTCTGATAATAAAAAGTAAAGAGTATCGAAACAAACAAACTAGGGCTAAGATTGATTATATGTAGGGGAAGGGCCCGGGGCAGTCCTATTTTTCGTCGGTTTAGGAGGCGCGTTAACGTGGGGGAAGATAGCGCGTTAACGCGATTTTAATATTATATTTATATTTATGTCATTGTTTAAAGAAAATTCTACTTATTTATTTATATATATATATATATATATATATATATATATATTGTGGTAAATAGTGACTTTCTATTCCTTCCAAAAAAAAATAGGGCAAAATACGTATCTTAACTATGGACCAAATCTATATTATACATTTTCTGATCACCAAAATCATCTTACATATTCAACATTTTCAAAGTGTATCTTATACATACCTGTTTTGCTACGTAGTTTTTGCGTGCTTAACAAAAAAAAGATGAGCGCGTTAAATTGTAAATATTTTGTCTAAATCCAGATTTTAATATCACGTGTCATAATAATAATATTTTCCTTATTTTTCATTTTTATCAAATGAAAAAAATGCCAAACTTCCCTTTTGTCTCATATCCTTCCCAAACTACCAGGACCCCCCCTCTCTCCCTCTCCGGTCTTCCCTTCCCATCGTCTCTTCCTCGATATTTACAAAAATCCACCAAAACTCTGATAAAATTTTTAAAGAAGGTGCTGTAAATTTTCTTTAAAATTGCCCTCTAAACTTCTCTCTTGCTTCTTTTTCTATCATTAAAATCCACCAAAACATCCAATCTTTACCTAAATAAAAAAAATTATATTTCATGAGAATGACTGAAGTTCTAAAATTTCCAACTCAGCTTCTTTCATATAAGAGAAGATTTGAGAATTTTATTCACAATGGAGTTGTTTAAGTAATGGAAACGAAAAACTGATTTTGATTTGCTTTATTTGGTTGTGTATGAGATCTGAAAATGGAGGAGGGAAATGGAGAACGGAGGAGTTGCAATTCCAGTTTTTATCTCTTCCATTTTCGGTCTTGGGTTTGTTATGGATGAATCATTGCAAAATTAAATTTGTGTGAAGGTTATGAAGTGGTGGTTATGGCTTTTTTCGGGTGGGTATTAGCAACGACGGAGGGCAAAAGAAGATGAAGAAGGTGTTAGAGGATTTTTTAAATTGGGGGTATAAGAGTAATTTTAAATATCTTCTCTTAAAAAATAATAATGACACGTGTCATGATGTTATTGTTGCGTGACATTACACATATTTTTATAAACTCGTCAAAGAAAAAAGAGGTGTATATTAGACACACTCTAAAAAGGTTGAGTGTGTAACATGATTTTTGTGCTTAGAAAATGTGTAATAGGGATTTGGTCCATAGTTAAGGGGTAACTTATGTATTTTGCCAAAAAATAGCTTTACAAATCAAGTAGATGCTGACCATCTACATCCATATCTTCTAGTTACAACAAGTCTGATGTTCTAGCTCTATATCTAGTATATAGTCCATTTACATCAGCTTAAAACCATTCAAAAAGGAAAAAAGCAATTACATGCGATTAGGAGCCTAAGAATTTTAAGGAAAATAATCCAGTTGTTACCGTGCTCCTTGCCAGTTTTGTATTGTTCTTCCTCTGGTATGTATATGCATCACAATTTCTCTACAAATGCTATCATTCTTGAGCATACCCCCTTGAAATCTAATCACATTTCTTTCCCTCTATATTGTTTAAACCAGCATACCAAACACACAAGTTACAATTGCGCAGTGACCAGATTTCTTCTTTGCACCTTTGTTTATCCATTGTATGCCAATTCTGAATAGGTGTAGGGGTGGCCTAGACAATTGGGCAGCCTAGTCCATATTCCCTTTACTATTGGACATTCAAAGTATAGGTGTTCAAATAGTTCATCAGAGTGACCAAAGTATGAACTTGTACCTAGGATGCAGGTTTGTTGCATGTTTATACTCTTCCAAAGTACCCTTTGAAGCTGAGGGAATTGCATGTGATACAACTTGCTTACACTAAAGACTTCACCCTTTTGTAGTTGGATAAGTCTACTAGTCAGATCCCCTTGAATACCTTGTATCTCAATAATAAATTTCTTTGTCTCCAGTATTTTCCTAACTACCCAAGCTGTATTCTTGGGTATTAGAGCATTATCCACTATTTTGTTCCATATATAAAAGGTATGAATCCACCAGATCCATTAACAGTCCTTCTTCATAGCTACTGCTCACAGGTGTTTTGCAACTGTTGCTTTGTTTCAATAGTATAGATTCATTACATTAAGCCCCCCTGTAGCTTATGGCCAGCATACTCTATCACAAGCAACTAGTGCTTTCTTGGTGATGTTAGATGGGCCAGACCATAGGAAGGATCTACAAATGGCTTCTATCATTTTAAATACCTTTTTACGTAACAGAAAGATCTGTGCACAATATGACTGTACCCCAAATAAGACTGATTTGATTAGTTGCAACCTTCCAACATATGACAACAATTTGGATGTGCAACAGTTGAAATTTTGTGTAATCTTCTCTACTAGTGGCCAACATTGGATAATAGACAGCTCCTTGGATGCTAATGATACACCTAGGTATCTAAATTGTAGAGTACTTTCAGTGTATCCCGGTTCTTGTATAATGTCTTGCTTTTGACTGCTTGAGATGCATGCTAAATAGATAGAGCTTTTTTCTGCATTTTCCTGGAGGCCAGATGAGCCTGGGAACTTGAGAAATGTCTGTTGCAACAATCTGATAGATGTGATATCAGCTTTACAAAATATCAATAGGTCATTTGCAAAGTATATATGGATCACTCCTAGCTTTTTACATCTGTGACGGAATTTGAAGTTTCTATTCTTTGTCAGTTGTGCAAGTTCCCTTTGCAAATACTCCTGGCAATGACAAACAAATAAAGGGACATAGGGTCCCCCTGTCTTATACCTTTTCTCCTTTGAAATGATTTTGGCAGCACTCTATTCATATTGAGGGAGTAATTCACTGTGGTGATGTATTCCATATTCCATCTAACAAATTTATATGGAAAACCAAGATCAATCAACATTCTTTCCAGGAAATTCCAATCAAGAGTGTTATAAGCCTTTCTCAGGTCTACCTTCAACACACATCTTGGTGAGATCTCTTTCCTATTGTAGCCTTTGAATAGTTCATGAGTAAAAACAATGTTGTATGTAATGCTTTTTCCTTCAATAAAGGCTGACTGTGAATCCCCAATGAGATCTCTTATTACACTCATTATTCTATTGGCAATAACTTTGGTAACTATCTTGTATAATGTGGTACAGCTGGCTATAGGTCTGTACTCTTTGACTTGGCTAAGATTAAGCATTTTTGGGATTATAGTGACATCAATACAATTCATCCCTTTATGCATTCTGCCAGTCACAAAGAAATGCTTAACGACATCACATACTTCAGAGCCAACAACATTCCAATGCTTGGTGAAGAATTCAATGGGAAAACCATCCACCCCTGGGGCCTTGTCATGAGGCATGTCCTTTATGGCAACTAGTATCTCCTCAGTTGATACTTTTCAATCAAAGCCATCTTCTGTGTGGGCTAAGGCATCTCCCTTGTTGCACTACTTCAGAGTTTGGACATCTATGAACATTTCCACCTTCTCCCATGAGTTACTCGTGAAAAATAATATAAACTCATTTCCCACTTGGACAAGATCTGTTAGCTTTATACCACATTCATTGTAGACAGATACAATGTGGTTTTTGCTAGTCCTCATCTTCCACTAAGAATCACCACATTCAATCCAAGTAGCCCTAGATTTCTATTTCAATACATGTTCTTCTATATGACTCCATTTTGCCATTTCAGTCAAAATTTCCTTCTCATGATTGAACAAGTTTTGATCTAAAAGGACAAGTTTTGAGTTCCCCATGTATTATCTCCAGTTTATGTCTAACCCGGTCAATATTCTGTTGGTAAGAAGCCATATATTTATTTAAGTCTTCGAGGTCATTTTTGAGTTTCTTCAGCTTCAACCAAATTCTATTCATGGAGACTTCTTGCATCTCCTGCTCCCATACCTGCTGCACTATATTTTTGAACTATGGATGCTCCATAACAGTATTGTATAGCTTGAAAGGTTTAGGATGCAAGCCTCTCTGTTCATTTCTTTGGCTAATATAAATTAGGATTGGGGAATGGTCAGACACTTCAGAGTTCAGGAATTTAGCCTCTATGTGGCTATACTGTTGCAGCCACAAATAATTTCCCATTGCCCAATTAATCTTGTTGTATACCCTTCTATCTTCATGTTGCTTATTACACCATGTGAAGAACCATCCAATACTTTTTAAAGGAGTTAGTTGCAGCACATCAACCAATTCCTGAAACCCTTGGATTTCTGATTGAGTGACAGGTGCTCCTATTTTGTCTTCGGTAGTTAGCACATTGTTGAAATCCCCATTTAGCAGCCAAGTAGTTTGCACAGTGGCTCCCACTTTGATAAGTTTGTTCCATAGCTGCTAGTATATACTACTGTGAATAATGTTGTAAAGATATCAATCTGAAACTCACAATGGATGTATTGATCTACAACCTCAATAATCTGGACATTTACACTGTTTATCCATAGTAGCCATATTCTTCCATTTGGGTGGTCTCTATAATTGCAGCATGCATTTCAGTCCTTAGCCACTTGCAGCTTTTCTCTCCTTTACTCTTGTCTCCAGATAGCCTATTACATCAATTTTGTACTTTTTCAGAAAGAGTTTCAGCTCTTTCTGTTTAAAGGGCTTGTTAAGCCCTATGATGTTCCAAGTACAGAGATTCATTGATGGGAAGAGCTGGTTGGCCCAACATCCCCTTGCTATTTGTCTGTGAGTTGTGTTTGTAAGATTACAAACCTATTACTAGAGATAGTGGTAACAGCTGTTGTGCTTTGCTGCACAAGGTTGCCAGCTTTAGGATTGGCTCTAGTAATGGTATTCTACTGCTCATGCCCAGCTACATTGATCCTGCTATGTGATTTTATTTGGTACTTTGTAG